TTTCTCATTTCATTGCTATGACTGAAAGAAATAATGTGATCTCTAATTTGCATTTCAGTATCACCAAAATTGCAGTTTTTCGCCTGAAACCTCAATCTAGCAATGTAATGATTCATGTTCTCACCAATATCTTGCTTTAGTCCTCGGGAAATATGTCTTTCAAATGAAACATTTACTTATGGGGTAAAATGCTCATCAAAAGCTTTTAAAGCTAATTCATATTCCGAAAAAACGAAATGCTTTTCCTCACTTGCAGTACCCTTTTGCAGGTCTGTTGGTGTTACTTTTTCTCCACAATGCAGCAACAAAGCTTTTTTTCTAGAAGCTTCTGTTATCCCTCTTGCCTCTAAAAAAAATAGCAAAAGCCCTTTTCCATCTCACCCACTGGTTTCCAACATCAGGCTGGTCCAGATCTAACACTGGTAGTCCCATGTTTGAAAGATCCATCTTTTCTTTTTATTCTTTTCCACAATATCCTCGTCGCCAATGTAATAGCGACTTTTAGTGTTATCAATACTTTTTATTGTAATCAGTACATTTATAAATTTCCTTCATGTTTTCTATATCTCTCATAATCGATTCTCAATTATTCCAGAGGGATAGGACACTACAGATAGATTTGGAGAAATACGGAAAGAAGAAAATACCTATACTATATCTAAGACATGATTCAGTGACATCGGATGCACGGGCACTACTGGGAGTCCGAAACTGGAGAGCTGCTGCAGCTGATCGTATTGACTGGCGAAAGCTTTTGGAGGAGGCCCAGTCTCGGTGACGGGATGTAGCGCCTGTATATATGTAAGTATATCTAAGACAGTTTTCCAAACATGATTTTCTTTTCTGTTTAAAAGCATAAACATAATATCACTTGCAGGAAAGAATTAAATTACACGTTATTCTTTCAACATTTTAAGAGAAACAGCAATAATTAATAAGCACAGTTTTATGAAATAAATGATTTCAGTAATCTTAAATTTACACTCATTTGGATATACTGATGTTATACATGTGTTATATTTGTAGCCAATATTACACCTACTCCTCTGAAGATTATGTGTTCGAGTAGATAGGAAAGGACATGCTGGAATGGAGGAAATTTGAAATCTTCTTTTTCATTTCACTAGAAGCTTCATTAAAAACTGTGAAAACTACCTGACGATGGGACAAGATCCAACGTACTCGATCTAACTTCTCACGATTTAACTTACTTTCATTTGCTAAGTATACTAAATCACCGAAATGGAAAGTATGATCGGCATCGATTTTCTTTTTTGAAATGAAATGAAACGAAAATATTTTTTTATTATCCTGAGACTGACCTTTAGGCCAAATTATAGATACAAAAAAAATACCTGTGTGGTCATACATTAAATTAAATATTTACAAATCTCATTAAAATTAAAATATTGAAGGAAGAAAAAACACTTAAAACAAACATGGCAAAATAAAATAACATAAGTGAACAGAATAATTTCTGAGGAAACTTAAAAAGTTCTCTTATCTACAATTCGTGATGAATCGGGTTGGAAAAGAAGTAGGTGTTTAAAAAAAAGAGATTTAAATGAAGAAACAGCTTGAGCCATGATTCCAAAATCTTTCTTTCAATACAACCCTCCTTCTCCTGCTAATCCAACACCCTTCAAATACCCCCCCTCTCTAACTTATCTCTTTATTCACTCTTACTTCCTACCTTTCAACTCTATTTCCTTTCAATCCATTCCTCAACCCCAATACTTCATATCCCCCACACTTCCTTACTCATCTAAACCATTCAATTACCACTCCCTTATCCTTCCCTACCCACCCCCTTAATTCATTCACCCTCCCCAGAAAACCCCCCTCCAGTATACAACAGACCACCACATTTAAAAACGACAGCCCACACAACACATCGCAAAACCCCCCCCTCCCCCCAAAGAAACAATCGTACCAAGTCTGCCCCTATACCACCTCAACTGCGTAGAAACCGAGTATTCCCCCCATACGTACATTCCACCTGCGTATGACGTCAGCCCCGTCACCCTGCAGCACCGGCCCCCAAGACGCTATTAGGTCGCCCCCCAGAGCTCGTCCAGCCCCCGGCTAAAAGCCCCGGTCCAAACACCCTGTTCCTGCCACTCTTCTCCTTAACACCGGCTCCCGTGACTCTCCAAACCCGGCCCCCCCCAGATACCCCCTAGTAAATAGACAGTGCGCCGAGAAAATTATTTGGAAACCCCGAGCGGGATAGACCCAGAAGGGTAACCTGAGCATAAAATAACTGCCCAATGTAAAAAACCGGAAGGTGTATGGAATGAGATAGGTGAGTTGTTCAGGAAAAGATTGGGGAGTGTCAGTAAGGGTTTGAGGAGTGAGAGAGTTCCGATAAGGATGGCTTTCTTCTTCTTGGCGTTTAGAATAATCCAATGGTGGTTTGTCCAGGCACAAATTCTTATATCTTCCTGTAATTTTTGGATGGCATCAGAGGAATCGGTTCGATTGAAGGAGAGATAAATCTGTACGTCGTGCATACAAATGGTATTGGCAGTGTAGGATAGAGGATGGGAGGCTATTGATGTAGATGGAAAAAACGGTGGGAGATAAGGAAGAGCCCTGTGGGACATCTCTGGACAAGGGCACTAGCGGGTCCAGGATTTAATTTTGGGGGGGGGGCTTCAGCCCGAAACCTTTTTTTTCATAAAAATAACGATAATTCCTTTGGAAAAACAGAAAGAAACTAACTACCTATATGAGATGGTGTTTAAGTTATTCCTTAAGTACTTTTAAATGTAATTACACGAACAATAATACTTTAAGAGGTATTTTTTAAATTTTTTTCCCCATAAAACATGGTTATATTTTTCCATTTTGGGGGGGCTTCAGCCCGAAAGCCCCCTCCGTAGATCCGTCCGTGGACAAGGGTAAAGATTCTGATGGGAGATTATTGGGGACTACAACATACTGAGAGCGGCCGGTAAGGAAGGATTGAAACCAAAAAGAGATATTTTTAAGCTTGGTTAGAAGAATTGTGGTCTACTGAGTCAAAGGTTTTGGAGAAGTCAAGGAGAATGGAATGAGGATGGTGAGTTTCTGCTGGTTCAGCGCTGTATGAAGGTCTTGGGAAATTTTGATTAGGGCAGACTGAGTGGAGTAGCCAGGCCAGAAACCGGACTGGTTGGGATTAAGGAGGTTCTTCAGTTCTAAAAAGTCGGATAACTGGGTTTGAACTAGGGTCATCAGCAAAAAAGGAAATGAACAGGGTTTGAAGTGTGTTACAAGTGGTCAGTTTTTCTAGGATAGTCCACTTGGCCTTAGAGTTTGGGGTGTTGGATAAGGAATGATGGAAATAACGGGATCTAGCTCAGAGTACAGCAGACTGAGTTCTGTTTCGAAAATGCTTTAAGGCGATATAGCCTTCCGGGAGTTGGGTACGTTTAAATCGACGTCTTGCAGCATTTCTTCTTCTCATCTACTCTCTCAGTGCGTCATGGGAAGACAGAACCGGAACCGGGTGCTGAGATGCTGAGAAGAGTTTATCGAGGGAATCCAAGATAAACAAATCAAGCCATGACTCTGAGAACTGAGTATGATGGGTAGGGTTGTAGGGTATTATGCCAGAAAGTAGAATTTCTCCACATTTTTAATTTAACTTACCTTTATGTATGGAACATATGTTATTGAATCCCCATATTTTTCACATCTGTCGACGGACAACTTCTACCCTCAAACTATTCCATGGCTCCTGCCATCTCCTGCCTCAATATATGCGTAGACTTCTGGTTACCTCTCTCATCTTCGCCACTTTGACTACAGCTGTGTGGTGTATGATGAACTCTCGGTGGAGCTCCATGACAGACTGAAAAGACTAATGAACAGCTGTGTATGATTTGTAATTGGTGCACTGAGATACTCCCATGTCTCTCACCTCTACATTGAGTTAAAGAGCCTCTTCCCCTTCATTCGAAGACAATATTTCCTAGGTATGTTCCTCTATCAAATCATCAACAATCATCGTCCTTCTTATGCCTACAACCTTCTCCAATTCATGTCCTCAGTCCATTTTCCACAAAATCTCGACCTTCAGATCTTAAGATCCCTTCTCACAGAACTGCCTCATTCCAAAACTCCTTTATTGCTTGCTCTGTTAATTTCTGAAATTCCCTTCCTATCAAAATTCGGCATTCCCCCTCCCTACCTACATTTAAAACCCTCCTATTCCAATCTCTGTCCCAAAAACAGTCAGATACCAGCTAACCTTTTATGTAAAATTACATACTATTCATAATGATTGACATAATGATGCATCTGCATATAATTCATCACTTAAATACTCTGGCAATTTTTACTATCAGATTCGGCTTTCTAACTTTTTTTTTTCTACAGAGACACAGAGTTTATTTCTAAGAAGTATGTAATGTATTTTTTTATTTTTTCTATATATTTTTTCTAAAATTTTATATTTATATTCTACTACTGTACATAGTTTTAAGTGCCTTGGTGGTTTCAAGTGTTTTGTATATAGATTTTTTTTTTTTGTTTTATTTTCTATGTAGTATGTTTAACTAATGTTTTCTTTACTTATTTCTCTTTATTTTTACTTTTTTTGTTTGTTTTTATTTAGACCAGATATAATATTTTAATTTTGTACTTTTTTGTTTAAAGGATCTTTGTCCCAGAATAAAATTATTTTCTATTCTATTCTATTCTATTGCGATCATGAAAATTTGGGATGTTCCCTGAATCCAAATAACCAAGTCCCACAAAATGGTCTGTCTGTCTGTGAACAGTCTAGTTCGAAATTGAAAAATATCAGGAAAATGAAATTATGTATTTAAGGTTGGTAAATCTTAATTTTAATTTGTAGCTAATAACTACTTGGTACTATAAAAATGTCCTGAGTACCATAACTAATCTAAATCCTAAAAAAAAATTCTTAGGAATTCCTGACATCGTTCCTAGAAATCTTGAATATATAATTCCATGTGTTTAAAGGACAATTTTATTGTAAATTAAACAGCTGATATTGAAACACCTTTTATTTTTATTGAAATAATTTTTAAATAATCTTTATAACAATAGTGAATTGTAAAACATATATTTAATTTGTTTTCCCTTCATGAATACTGATTCCCTCCTGAAACATAAAATAAATTACATATTTAAAATGTAATGATGAAAATATTTATTATAAATTTAAATCTGAGAAGGAGTTAATCGGAGGGGGGGGGGATGGGGAGGGAAGGGGGTTAATTAAATAATACTATCTGTTTAATTTAGTATTTATTTGACCGCACCCCCCGATTAACTCCTTCTCATATAATATCAACCGTCAACTATCTCTACATCATCATAAATTTAAATCAGTTGTATTAGTGATTTAAAGTGGGTTTTAGTAAAAAATGTGGGATTAATGAGGTAACATTTTTTAGAATTTTCTGAGATTGATTTGGTGAATATTAATTATTAAAATTTTGTATGTTGTTTATTTGAATTTTTTTCATTTTTTATTATATTTGTTATTATATTTAGGTAAATTTAAAAATCAAGAGTTTCATGTGAAGATGAATATCTTTTATTTGATTAAAATGGTTCTGAGTAGAAAGTTGAAGATGGTAGCTATGGAAAAAAGAGTAAAGTAACAGCATATCATGAAGCTTTGTTGTGTAACATTACACTTTCTAAGCATTTATAAGGAGAGGGAGGTAAACATAGCAGCCCTGGAGCCAGGTCCCGAAAATCGAACAGATCACAGGCGAAGATTTGAATGTGAATAATGAAAGTGTATGTTATTTCGAGTAAAATGAACCTTGTCTGCCATTCAAGAGCCTCTGCATTCAAAAATGGTGGCTGACTTAAAGAATATTAGGAATATAATAATATAGGAATATAATAATATTCCAGTAACACGAGGATTGAAATCCATTGCGAAAAATGTTAGAAAAGTTTTATTTTTTTAACTTGTAATATATGGGTATAGACATGTAAAACACTAAGTTGCTAATGCTGGAAACCAAGGGAAAACTTTTCGCAGCCAAAAAAGTCAGATTTTTTATAGATTTTTCACCTATAACTCCTAAACGATGCATTGTAGAGAAAAATGTACTCATAAATAAATTAAATGTTAAATTATGCGTTGAATAAGTACATAAACATAATAATTTGGTTACATGGTAAGATATAAAACCACGGTCAACCAATGCTGAGTTTTACCAAATTTGTCAAAAACTGAGACAAATTACTAAAAATGGCCCTTAAACATGGAAGTGAGTTCCCTAAGAGAAAAAAAAAACATACAATAAAAGCTGTAGAACATCATTTTGAGTCCACTTAGTACTGACATTTTTATTGTAGGCCAATTATATATCTCGAATTGGGATTCGTTATTTCATTATGAAATTCGGTATCTTCCGACACATCGTTTATCAAAATTCTCCGCTGCTGAAAGGTGTAAAAGAAGCTTATACTGCATGTAACAGACTCTAAACAAAAATAACTCAGTTGAATAGGCACTCATACTGTTGAAATTTTGAAAATCACGTATACCTTCATTACCAATTTCTAAGCATCCAGAGATTACCAATTTTGTTCCGAGTAAGTGACCTATATTAAAATAATTGGTACTCAGTTGACGCATAATTTGATGCTATACAACTTTGATTCTATGGGTTTTTCCTCTAAGAGAACTCATTTCCAAGTTACAGAGCCATTTGTAGTAATTTATCTCAGTTTTTGACAAATTTGGTAAAAATAACCGTTTATTGACCTTGGTTTTGTACCTTAGCACGAAATTGAATTATTAAATTTATGTACTCATTTGATGCACAATTTAATGTTCTTTAATTTATTAATGACAACATTTTTCGCTTTGCTACATCGTTTAGGATTTATAGGTCAAAAAAAAATTTTTTAAAAAATCTTTTTGTTTTTGTGAAATTTTGGGCAGTAAAAAGTTTTCCCTTGTTAGGCCAGTGTTAGCAATTTTTTTTTACATGCCTTAACACATAAATACAAGTTAAAAAAATTTCTCCGAAGGGAATGGAGTTTCCATTTTGATCCTCAAGTTACTGGCCTAATATTCATTAAATCAGCTGCTATCTAAAGCAGTGGTTCAGGAATGGCAGACAAAGTTCATTTTACTCAGAATAACATATATTATCGTAATTAACATTCAAATCTTCGCCTGTGATCAGGTCGATTTTTGGGTCCTGCCTCCAGGGCTATGTAAGATATATTTTTAACAGATATACATACCTTATTTACAGCTTGTACAAAACAGTCAAACTTATCAAATGTGTACTGGCAAGGATCTGGATCTGGGTTTGCTGCAAACAATAGCAAATTGATCATTTTAAACTGATGATTTGGGTATATGCTTTAGTGATTTGAGCTAAATAAAGTTAATTCAGTATTTATTATCAGATAAACTAAAGGAATGTTGTACATTGTAAAGTGCACTATAAAAACAGATATTTTACTGTCAACAGATATTTTGACAACATCTGTTTCAGTAAATTTGAAACAAGAATTATAATACATTTGACATTCCAAGAAGAATTAATTACTTTAATTACATCTTTAGCTTGATAAAAAAAATTCTTTAAAGATTTTATCAGTATGTTATTAATCTGGTACCTGAATCTAAGCACTCTGCGCTTGCACTTATCAGTTTTTCTTGGATCTGTGGGTCTTTCCAAAGTCCCTTAATGGCTCGCACAATCATTTCTTGGCTTATTGTTCCATCTTGCTGATACTGAAACCATATTAATTGAGATTGTCAATACCCAAGTGATACTGTATGTATCTATTTTTTTTCTTTTAAATTTACATCCTTAACCATGATTGGCTTACTGAAAATTTTATATTCAGTCATTGATAAGACTAGATTGAATGGGTAAAAAAAAATTAAACCTGTTCTTTTTTGGATTTCTTGCTCCAAAGGAAGAGGGAAAAATATAAGCAATGGGTAGTCAGTAAAATATTTAGTACCACAATAATTGATGCTATTCCTCGAGAAGATTGGACACACCAACTTGCCTGCTCCTTTCAAAATAAATGGAAAGTTGAATGGGAAATGAGTTCGGCAAAACTCCAGGAAATAAAAACAAAATGTATCAAATGGAACACATCAAACAGAAAGTCTAGAAGAGAAGAAGTGATACTATGTCGGCTAAGAATTGGGCACTGTGAGTTTTCCCATGGATACCTCCTGCGAGGATTAGAAGCTCCAACTTGCACACATTGCCTAGTACACAGAACTGTAAAACATATATTAGTAGAATGTAGAAGGTACACTGATATAAGGAAAAAATTTCAAATGGGAACGGAAATGAAAGAAATTCTGCAAGATGGAGAGAATGAAATAAAAAAACTGTTCAAATATTTAAAGAATATTCACTTTTATCAACGAATATAAAATTGAAACATTAAGCCAATGACCCTTAGAGGTAGAGGCTAAATCAACAAATTAAAAAAAAAAAAAAATTAAAAAATAACTAAGTAAATAAAATTAAAATAGCTAAAATATTAAAAATATATTAGATAGTTTCGTAAAATTGTTAATTATTTGAATGGAAAGTACATGCTAGAAAATAATGCACATCCAAATAATACTTACAATGCCATATTCCTCATCAATGCATTTTATAACACACTAAAAACAAATAAAAAGTAAAATTACTGTAAAATCGAATAGATAAAATAAAACTGTGCTTGAGTGAATTATTTTAATTTATGTAAGTATACCTTATGATCTTTTATTCCTTCGACGGATTTGAAGAAATACAAATCTTCCATAGCATCTTAAAAAAAAATAACAATGACAGTTATATAATCACTCAAAATATGTAGTACTATCAGTAGTTTTAGTCTGACTATGAGGTGTTGCAAAATAAACATTATAATAGGCCTGGGCAGAGGGATGGGGTTAGTTGTGGGAGGTAATTGTTTGCGGTGTGTGTTAAGGATAAATCGTTTAGGAGGTAATTGCCTTGTGGTCGGAAAGAATGTATTTATAACGAGACCGTGATGCATTATCGCCAGAAATGTTATGTGGTGGGATGAAATTGTTTCGGTTTGATGGTGTTAGGTTTTATTGTGATTTTTGGTGGATGTTTTTGTTAGGTTAGATTTGAGATTTTATTAGTTTAATGGTTAGGGTTGGATTTTAAATTTTTTATTAAATGTATAAGTTTTTGTTTTGTGGTGTGAGGATGTGTGTATGAGGATTATGTGTGTTATAAGGGTTTAATTATTTTTGTAGTGTGGTAATGTTGGGTGTGTTTTTTATTAGGTGTTGGTATGGTGGATTTATTGTTATGAAGGGTAGATATATTTAGAAGGTTGGAGTGTGTGAAATTTGTGTTGGGTGTTTAACAATATGATAAGGAATATTTTTTAGATATTAAGTTAATAGTATTTTGGGATTAGAATTATAATTATTTGAGTAGTTGGGTTACACGCCCCTAAAAAAGAATTAAGTTTCTGAAACAGCAATAAATATAATGCCTCAACTTGGTCTAATTGTAAAAAACGAAAAAGGGAAATAAGAAAAATTAAATTTCTGTCTGGCACATTCAGCTTCTACAAATATCAAAGCGCCTAAAACAGGAATAAATATAATTCTTCAATTCCATCAAATTGGAAATAACGAAAAAGTGCATTATAAAAATGAAATTGCTGTCGGGCACACTCAGCGTCTACAAAGTTTAAAGTGTCCCAAACAGGGAAAAATTGTATTGAGTAAATATAATATTAAGGTGGTTAGGCACACTCAGCCCATTTGAGTTATATTGGTGGATTTTTTATGTTATTTCAGTACAGAGTTATTTCAAAAATAATTATTTCATGATTTTTGTAATAATTTATTTATGAAAGAAGTAAATCTGAAATAATAATTATTTCTGAAATAACTCATTTTGAAATAAATTACTTTATTCCTACAAATGTTAAAATTTTGAAATAATTATTTCAGAAATTAATTTATTACTTATTTCATCGCGATTATTTGATTGGCAATTTGAAATATTATTTCAGAAATAACCATTATTTCGAAAATTATTAATTGATCAAGTAATCATGTGATTTATTTCAGAAATAAATTATTTTAAAAGTGCCCAGGTCTACATTATACCAATAGTCCATTTTATTTTAAAATATTTCATATTAAACCGGCATTATATAAGTTTAATAATTCTGTATCATTTATTTATTTTTTTGATTCTTCATTTTAGTCTGTGAAGACATTCAAGTGTTTGGAAGATATATGCTGAGTTCATTCTTTTCTTTTTTTTTCATGATGTTGAAGAATTGATTAATTCATGTAAACATCTCTCCCAAATCGGACAAATCAAAAAATGTATCAAAAACTTTTAATAAATCCATCAGTAATTAATTTATTAAGATCAGCCTCTATCTTTAACAGAAATAGTAATTGCTTTAATCTGATTATCTGGACATTAACTAGTTAGAACCACTAGTGAATCCAAGAATTAATTTTGGGGGGCTTCAGCCCGAAAGATTTTCATAAAAATATATAACATTAATTACTTAAGAAGAAAAATAAAGAAACTAACTATCTATATGAAATAGAGTTTAAGTGATTCTTTGAGAACTATTAAATGTAATTACACGAACAATAATACTTATAGAATAATTATTAAATATTTCTTTCATAAGATATGGTTATATTTTACCATTTTGGGAGGGGAGAGAGGGGAGGGGCTTCAGTCCAAAAGCCCCCCTCTCTCTATAGATCTGCCTGTTGTTAGAACCAGCCAGTAAAGTGCTGACAGGAATCGGCAAAAAGGACCAAAAGGCTCACTTGATAAACTAGATACCTCCATCAGTAGTAGGTCACTATAAATGGTGTATCGAATTTAAGAAAACTATGCTGAAAAGTAGGAACTGGTTTGTTATTCATTTTGATAGCTCACTTCATTCTTTCCAAAGGAGGCATTGTGTTGGAGTAGTTTGCGAAGGTACTGAACTTGTGTGGAATTTGAAAATAGAAAACTCCACCTCATTGTTCTCTGGCAAACTCCACTAATACATCAATACAGACAACTTACTGGTGTGGCTGGCAAATATAACTTCCTTATGATTTTAATTTGTATGTTTGTTACATTCTATTAGATATTAGAAACATATATTATTTTCAATTTGATTCTCCCTGCGACACTTAAGGAGACAGCCCTGATGAAGGCCTGAACTTCAGGTCGAAACGTTGGCATATGTAAAAAATAAATATTATCATTTATTTTTGCCTTCCTTTTTGACTGACCACCCCAACTATTCTTCTCTTCATTATCCACGACAGTCAACCAATTACCAATTATGAATATATGATTTTCAGTTATTGATTAGTCTCTTTTTTCTATGCGTCTTTTGTCAATATATAAGTAGTTTGATAATTTTCTATGGTTATACATATCTAGGAGTTATCCTTTCATTTTTTAACTGATCAACATTTTGGTTATATCTGAGTATAATTTATGATTAATGTCTAACAAAAGGAGCACAGCAAAAAAGAATCGGACCATCAACTGAAAATAATATGTGTTTCTTATGATGGAAAGAACATTTCCCATTAACCTAAAACAGATGTAACACAAAAATAAACTATAGTCAAAAGGGATTTATATTTTCCAACTATACACCAATAAAATCAGAAACCTTTCACCTAATGAAAAAATAAGAATAAATTAGAACAGTTTAAATTCCCTGATGTACAAATAAGCTTTTTAGGTAATTGTTAATTTTCCAAAACATGTTTTGGCTATGAAACTATTACATAATAATAATTTTTTCCCCACTAGTATCAAGTAAGAGGGAAAGAAATACTTTAAACATTTTTTTTCTTCCTTTTTATTTTTTTGAAATATGTAAATATTGATGATTTATTTTACTAGAAATATTTATTTGAATCAAGGAATAAGCATGATTTTTATTTTGTTTGCATCAGTTTAATTACTTTATAGTCATATTTATTTTACATAAACCTAGTATTTGTATTTACATTTCCAAGAACTATATATATAAATATTAAAAGTTTAACTTATGAACCTCTAGGATAAAGATCTCATAATCTGCCACAACAATAATAAAAAATATTTAAAGTATTTATGTTCAGAATATTAACTTACCATCTGGTACTTTCTCTTGTTTTTGGCATTTATTCCAGGTTGCATTCATAAAAGCAATTGGGTCATCAATAACAGGAACCTAAAAAGTTAAATGAAATCTAATGAAATACTGCTTACTTGAATTTTCTTTCAGTCAATATTTTTTCTCTAGTAAAATTGCTTTACTGACAGGTTTAAATTTATTGTCTTAATACGTTTTGTATTTTTTTAAATTTATAACAAGTGGTGAGCGCCCCTGAAGATGGACCAGCGCCCCCAACAAGCGGCCCTCAGGGCCTAAAGCTGGCACTGGGCAGAACTAGTATTTCCGGAGATTAATTTTCGACCTGGATAAACGTTTTTATTTTTTTCTCCTTTATTCAATTATGAAATTTTTTCAAAAGTTATATTTAGCATTTTTTCGTAACTCTTAAAAATAAAATATAGTAAAATAATAAGGGATCAAATAAACCATATTAAAGGTACTTTAGAAGAAGACGAATATGAATATTGGGCATTTAAGCCCTGTAAAATGACATCAACTAGGATAAGACCTAAATGATATTAAACAATTATTTAGCAGATTATAAAGCAGCTTATAAAACAACAGATTATAAGAAATTAACAAAACTGTGTCATAAGACTCCATTCATTAAGGAAAATACGTAAATATTGATCTGTATAATGCCTGTGACAGATGGTTATTTGAAAATAAGTCAAAAAATAACTTCCGTTACATCGATCAATGATTTCCTCATACTTTTTTGTTTCATGGTATTATAAACGGTACATTTCCTTTAAAATTTACAAGATGTAGTAAAAAATGGAGGACCATTGCTTGAAAGTAAATGAGCGAAAGCATTTAGGCGGATTTTTTCCTGTTTCGGATGCTTTTGGATTTATTAATTGCCGAGTTAATACATGTTGTATGTTCCCACCATGGATCTGTAATTAGAAGACACTTTTAATGGGACTATAATAGCGTATATATGTAAGACTTTACACAGTTTTTTTTCCTTCTTATTAGGCACCTTTATTAATGTAACTAGTTTTTAGAATATCTACAATGACAAATGACGATTCTCCAATTACAAACTCCACAGATTTCGCAGATTTTAATTAACATTACAACATTACAAATTGAATTATTTTTATCATATCTATTTTTTTATGTCCTATGGTTCTCTGAGAACCAGAACCTTTTCAACAAAAAAATTTTATTGGTTATACAAACACCTATATTGCAAGATCTATAATTTTTCGTTTGGGAAAAAAAAATCTACCTATAGTTTTGTCGAGGCAAAACGTACGACTAAGGCAATGAAGAAACATAATTGGATAATGTCGATATTGGACCGTCGAAGTATACGCCTTAATAAATCTTAATCTACGTTTCCATATATTCACTGCCTTCCACATTTAACAACCGTAATACTCTTAACAATTAGGTACGTCTTTTTCAATCGTTAAATGAAATTTATCCTTTAATATTTTTTTACAATTCACTAAATTTCTTTTGGGACAAATTGAAATGTAGACGTATTGAGTAGAATAAGTCGTAAGCTCAAATCTTTTCGAATGGATGGAATTTAATAAAATTATTATGTACCGAATCGATCAGTTTTCCATGAATTCCTATCTTTCGTCCAACTATGGGCCTAGTCGAACGTGCGGTTTTCCAGATAGAAGTGAATCAAGATTACATGCAAAATTGATACAGCATAATTTTTTTTTCTCTAATCTCTAAGTTTACTCCAATTTTTAGCCAAATGGAAAGAAACTGTTTTTTAAATATTTACCCTAAAGTCATGGATGTAATTTGATGAAATTGATATGAGACCATCTACGTATCTACTGATCCTCACTATCTCTGAAAATTTCATAAAAATCGGTTTAGTGGTAGTAGGGCTCTTCACATTGATGTGACTGCAGAGAACCAAATTTGTCTCTTGATGTCTAAAATGTAAAGCATGAGTAAGCATAAATTTGTTTTTAATCTCCCGCACTAATACCATGCTTCCCTAATTTTGGAATTCAGGAAGCAAAAAAATAAAAATCATGATTTGATCAAAAATTTTCAGTGTTTTTTTATCCTTAAAAATTACGTATTTATTATAATTTTAAAAATAATACTTTTTTAAACAGAACTTATGATTACTATTACTTTTAGCATTAACATGTAACCGTAAGTAGTAGGTTTTTAAGTTTATTTTTACGGGAAAGCTGTTTAATTACGTTCGGTGATCCTCTCCTGGCCTATTACACTCCTTGAGCCTGGAGTAGATCACATGCAGTGCACATAGTAACTATAACTAATATGACTATAAAATAAAAAGTTATAGAAAATAGTTATAACTATAAAATAAAGTGCACTTGTAACTCTAAAATAAATAGATAATGCAGTAAATATTTGACAAAGATCTTAAAGGTCGAAGTCCAAGTGGGACTTTCCAGATTTAAAACAGCCCTGACAAGGGTTAACGGTCAGGTATTTAGAAGAGGCTTTCATTGATGTTTCTGTATGATTATTTTAATATATGAAAGCTTCAGTGAAAGGTGTGTTAAACTTTAAATAATTGATTAAAAATGTTATACATTTTAATAAGCACTAAGCGGTATGGCTGACTGTATTCTTTTTTCAGAAAAAAATTAAGATGGTGGAAACTAAACCTCGAAACACCAACCTTATATAAAAATTGGAAATAAAGGAAAATTTATTTTTTACTCTATATTTTAATACACATAGAGTATCTGCTGAAATGAAAAATCTTCATCTACTCACTGCGAAAGCTCCCAAGACACATGTAGCAAAGACAAGCAAGCTCCACTGAGACATTTTTGCAATTTTCTTCTACTGTGCACTCTAAGTGCATCCCCTCTATATATACCTTCCTAACCCAAGGTTTTCGTTAATTGCCGAATCGTCTTCTTTAACCTGATTCATTTCATATATATATACTTTTATTTCTGAAGCTCTATTAATTATTGATCTTATCTGACAAATCAAAGGCAAATAATGTGGTCTTTCATTTATCTCTTTAAAAAATACAACAATATTAATTCAGATCACGACATTTAATTACGGCATTCATCAAAGTAGTGTAGCAATGGAAATGAAAAACAGGTTTCAGTTCAAATTAGCTAATGAAGGAACTGCTGCTAGTGACAGAAGTCGTCCGGATATCGTTCCTTCCTCTCCTGTTAAACACAAACTTGAACACGGCGTTATCAAACAGGAAATAGACACTGATTAAGAAATTGCAGAAAGTGTTCATAGTAGTATAAGTTCATAATAGTATAATATAATGATAAGTATATATGGTTATATATTATCTTATGAACACTTTCTCAATATGTCTCAGAAGCAGAGGTATAGAAAAAACGATTCCAGGGATAAAATTTCAGGGCGTCCGTCAAATATTAAATTTACCCCTAACACCTAAGCGAATACATTTAAAAGTATGCAACAAAAATATTAGTTTAAGATTTTACACATTTGCAATATGATGTATGCAATGCCATCTATTATTTATTTTAACGTAAATATAGATATTTAAAAATAAAACGTAGGGTACCAGACTGCCTGCAGCCACGATTGCCCTCATCCCTCCTACATATCAGAATGAAGATTGTTTTGTTCAAAGCTCTCTGTAGCAGAAATTCAAAGATGGCACATGTTACTGTCTTATGGAACAAGATGGAATGCCTATCAAGTATTACCAAAAGAGTGAAATCTTCGGCGGTGTCCAGCAACAAGATTTGTGAAGATTTCGTTTTCGGATAGCTAATGAGTGTCTTGGAATCGATTCATGCTGATCATTGAAAATGAACTCCATTAGCGGAAAACGCCATTTCATCATCTTTGGAGGTGATAAACGAGGACAACTTCAAATTATTTCTTCAAATATTAGTACCAAACATTATCAAAATTCCAGATATTTATGTTAAAAGTTTTGTTTTTTAAATCAGACAACAGAAAAACATTTGTCAACAAAGCATGTTTCAGAATTTCGTACTGAGAGTTGTATTCACCATCAGAGCTCAATCAACTAATGCCCGCAGCAAAATGGTACTTCACAAAGAGTTAGCTGACGTTGGTAGAAAAGACTAGATCAATGTTGCATTTATTTAAGACACAGGTTAAGACCAACCAGAAAAATTCAGTCTTCACTAAGATGTCTACTCCTGATTTTCGTATAATTTTTTTTAAGTTTAAACTCGCCCGAAATGGGGCCCAGACAGCCAGAAACATCAATCAAGTCTGCGGCGAGAGCAGCAATAATTATTTCACTGTTCAATGGTGGTTCAAACAATTTTGGGAGAGAGACTTCAGCATTGAAGATAAAGAAGGTCGTGGAAGGAATTCCTCTCTTGATGACGATGTTCTGCGGGCTTTGGTGGAGGAAAACCCCAGAACAACTGTTCGAGAACTTGTAGGAAAATTTAAGCTTAGCAAATCGACCGTCAATGACCACCTCAATGCGTTGGGAAAGGTAAAAAGCTTGAAAGTTGGGTCCTGCACACATTAAACAACCACCAAAAAAACCCAGAGTTATAAAGTTGTCCTACACTTCTTTGCCGAAACAAAAACTACCTTTTTTTGTCCAGAATTGTTACTTGTGGCGATGGATACTTTAAGATAATAGTAGACGTTCTGGACAGTGGCTCCACAAAGGAGAAGCAACAGAACATTTGCCAAAGCCTCCAACTCATCAAAAAAAGGTGTTTGTTAATGTCTGGTGGGCTTCATTGGGTTTGATACACTAAAGGTTTTTAAATCCTGGAGAAACCATCGAGGCCGAATCGTACTTGAACCAAATTAATGTAATGTATCAGAAATTGGCAATAATGAAGACATCTTTGGTCAATCGGAAGGGGCCCATTTTGTTGCATGACAACGACCGGCCACATGTCTCACCTGTAACGTTACAAAAACCGTTGGTGCTTGAATATGAAACTCTGCTACATCCGCCCTACTCTCCGGACCTCTCGCCTACGGATTATTATTTTTTAGACACCTGGATCACTACTTACGTGAAAAAAAATTTAATGGACAAAGGGAATTAGAAAATGCGTTTTTAGATGGAAAATTTTATTTCGAGGGAATGGAAAAATGCCAACACGTTGGCAGAAATTTATTGATAGTAGTGGAGACTATTTTGATTAAATAAAACAGTTAAAAATCATTCTTTTGAAACCGAAATCCTGCATTACTTTCCGGGCAACCCAATACATCTAATTCAATTTCCTACTGGTAGTAGACAATATTTTATTTAATTATGCACTTCAGGTTTTTTACTTTCACTTACCTATTTCCGTTGATAGAATGACTAACTCCAATTACAAATTTTTTCTTTATTAATTTTAGTGGTTTCTAGTGGCACAATTTATACCTTTATTTACAGTTCTATATTTCAACATTGAAATCACCTACTCTGGAATCAAGTTGCTCACTGTCTGTATAGATATAATGTTTCCAACAAGAAATATCACTAAAATGACATTACTCAAAAATGTAGAAATTGGAGTTGGTTATTCTGTCAACTGAAAGGTTCAGAGACTGAAGTTATGTGGTTTAAAAATTTGTTGATATAATAAATAGACTTTTTGTAATTTTAATGATTTGTTATGTGTAAGCTTTAAGCTTTAGCTCCATTTAAAATGCACATCATAAATTTTATAATAGCCCAACATTGCCTGAAAATAATTTATATTCAAAGTAGAGGAGTAGGTGAAAGTTGTATGTTGTGCTCACCATATTTTTTTTTATTTATTGTTACACTAAAATTTAGGAATCATATTCAATATTTATTGTTCTCAAGTATATATTTATGCATATATGCTACTTATATCCTTGGGATTTAACAATTTTAGAACTTTTAGATAATAATGTGAAATAATCTCATTTTGAAATAAGTAATAATGGTTGCCTGACTACAAAAGGAAGTTGTTAGGCAAAGTATCTTCCTATTAAGGTTATTATTGCAATTGAGGATAAAATGTAAAAACAATATTACATGCATTTTTTTTCTCGTGTTTTATGATGTCATTTTAAATTGAAAAAATGTAAGAATTCGGGTTGTATAATTTATCTAATAAGATTTTTGATTAAATAAACCAATAAATTAGATAAACCAATCAATATCGAGATAAATGAATATTTATTTTGTCACTGCTTATTATTATGATATTACACATAGTTGTATTAAACATTAATAGTTCTAAATATTTTTGAAGTAGAAGAATTTATGAATTAGAAAAATTTATTACATTTAAATAAATACTTAAAAGTGCCAGTAAACCCAATAGGATATACATTTTATAATTGTATTATCTTTAGCAACAAAAAAATATAAATTAAGAAAGGAGAATAGAATGAACAATTAGTTAATTGAAACAATTGTTGATTATTGCATAAAATATTTTAGAAATTAGGTAATTTTCACAGCAAAATGTATGTGCATATAGCGCTTTAATTGTACATAATTAATTAAATTGATGATGATATTGTTTTTTTCTTAATCTAAAATTATATGATCTTTATTAGTTTTAGTTTCAAATTATCTTGTCTTTATACTTGCTATCTCTCAACAATGAGTAATATTATTCATCCAGTGCTGCTAGACAGCTCAGGTAATTAGTTAAAAATGAGTCAAAATATATCTCTTTATGATTAATTGTATTTTTTTAAGTAACTGATAGCCAGGATTTATCTGATTTCCGATTGGTATAAATACTCTGCTTCAGTTTCAAATTTCATTTCATTCTTGTTCTCTTCAACATGCAGATGAAAATGATTGTTCTTCTTGCTTTATTTACCTCTGCTAGCTTTATACTTGTAAGTACATTATGTTTCCTTATTTTGATAATTAATAAAAATAATACCTTTACCATGACATCTGAATGATGAGGATCTTGGTGAAGAAGTTGTGTTTCTTTTTCAGATGTCATTAGTTTTTAAGTTCAATATTAAAAAATTTCTTAACTCAACAATCTTTAAATTATTTACTATCTATGAAATTTATCAGCTTCTAATGTATGAAGTTAGTAAATAGCTTTTTAAATTTTGAAAACCTGTAATTTTTCTTTACATTTTGTGTATTTAAATTTTTCTGATAAATTTAGAACTTTGGATGTTTTGCTATTATAGGAAATTTCATATTTTTTATTTTGAACTTAATAGCTATTAAATTATATTTAAATACATTATTATTAGCTCGACTACGTTTAGTTGGCATTCCAAGGGCAAACTATTGTGGCACTAAGTTGGGACCAACATTTTTTTGTTCAATATTACAAAATATTTACAAATATATGCATGCATTGAGAGATGATATTGTATTGTTGCAATAAATATTTTAAAGTAATATCGGAGGTTAAGAGGGAAAATAGTTTAAACTATGTAATATTTTTTAAAATAGTATAAACTTTGTGGTGCATGAATTAACCCTTGAGATGGCAACTGTTGAGCTATAATTAGTTTTTTTGTCACCAATTTTTACTTTCACTTACCTATATATGAAATATATAGTAAAGGAAAGTATTGCGATTTTGAAAATTTTTAAATCTCAGTTTTCAATGGAAATACACGTTTGTGTGTGTGTTAACAGTCTAGCTCAAAAACAAAAAGTCGTACGAAAGTGAAATTCCATATTTAAGGTTTTTATATACCAGGGATGTCACAGCGACTTTTTTTTGTTAAAATCGGCTAACCGGAAGTGGCACTTTATATCATGGACTAAACACATTTTTATGATTTTCTTGAAAAAAGCTCTAACGATTTTGATTAAATTCATTATATCAGTGTAAAATTAAGCATTTGTAGTTGAATAAAATGTAGTTTTTATTT